TAACAAATCATTAAGAAAAGTATGCTTATTATTTTAAGAAAAATATATATACAACTACTGTTTGCCTGCCTTGTTGAAAATAGGCATAGGCCGATAGGTTAACCTTGCATCATTATCAATACTTCATTGTCCACACAACAGAACAAACATTAGAAGAGCGCAAATAAAAGCATTCAAAGAGCAAACACAATTGCAGACAGATAAAGAAAAGTTAGCATAACAAAAAACCATAAAGACGATCACCCTCTCTTATGTCAAGCAGGTGCAACTAAAGAAATCAGGCAAAAACACATCCCACCAACTAGATAATTATTCCTGAAAACACCAACACTATTGATATGTCCACAGAAATTATAATTTACCATCTTTCCAGACAAAAGGTCACATGTTACCTGAAACCGAAGCTGGATAAAGCCCCGAACATCATCTTCGCCTCAAACATCCAATGCATAAACCCTGCTAGGAGTCCAGTATAGCACTACACTAACAGCCCACGAGCAGCGCTCACCATGTCTATCTTCCTAAAGTCCGATAATTAATCACCTCGTCCCCAAGGATGAACGAGAGCCCCAAAAGTCACTAATTTACAGTAGAAGCAAATCGTACTTTCTACTCAAAACACTAAAAGACATGAAAAACGCGATAAATGTAATCCTCCAGAATTGAAAAACAACGCCAGCCCTTTTAAGGACAGGTCACCAACTGGTAATCCAACATATATTTTACAGAATTCTTCAATTTTTCTTGCAGCACATCTGAATTTCACCTTCTTCCACATTATACAGACTTCGGTTCCACATTAGCTCCATGGCCCGTTTTCTCCACGCCCATCCCTTCTTTTGAAGGGTAAAACAAGTCATCAGCATCCAGAGGTAAGGAAGCAGTATCAAGTTCAAACGAACCAGCTGGAACACCTTCTTTCTCTGAGCCTGTCAATTTATAGCTTGGAATACGATGAGATAACTTGTACAATTGATTCGGTTGAACCAGAAAAGAGTCGGCCTCGTCAAGACTACTTCTCTTAAAAACGCTGACGAAACCCGCAACTTTATCCAAGTAACAGACCTTTAGACCACTAACAGGATCGAAATCAGTGAGAATCTCCACAACTTCATATTTATACACTGTATGGTTTTCTGGACTGGAGCTCCAGTTCAAATCCCAGTCCTTAAAAACAGCCCAGACCTCCCCTTGCCTAGGATACACGTGAAAAGAACCTCTCTTCGTTCCTTTCTCAAAAATCACTTTGTGGGAAAACATATTGTTTGAATGCGTGATTTCAATTTTCCCAAGCTTAAAACTGCCACATCCAGCAGGTAGACCTGCCTTTGTCCACTTCTTATGAGCATCGTATATAGGGTCAGGCTCCAACCACGTGAAGCTCAATTCAAATGGAGCATGAGATACCTTCTTGACCAAGGCATGAAACCTGGGCATGCCGTCGTCTGAATCATAACAGGCCCAGATTTGATTGACCGCAAAGAGGCTCTCATCACGAAGCTTGTTGAAATCGGTAAATTCTGCATCCTCACTTTCAATTACAACGCCTGTACCATTTCCCATCCCCTCACTTTCCGCAAAACCTTTGGCTTGTTTGCTTTCTTCGGGGTGAACGGTCGCATTCTGATTCAAAGAGTCTTTATTCTCCTCTTCAATATCCTCAGGTACTTTATTTCCTCTCGATCTCTTGGGAGGACTAAGATAAACATCATCATCATCTTCAACATCACCTTCCGTGTATGTGTAGTTGACGTTTTGCCTCGCGCGCGAAGATCTCCTCACAGGGTGACCATGACTAGAACCAGAATTCAGATCATGATTGCCCTTCATAGTAACATCTTCCAAATCAGAATCACTCGACGAATCCGAACTCTCGCTGGAGGATATCATTTGCTTCCTTCCCCTCTTCCTACTTTTATTCTTCTCCTTCACTTTTTCTCTATTCTCCGCAAACCCGTTCGCCTTCTGCCCATGTGAAGCACTAACATCACGGCCATCATCCACACGTTTTTCCTTCACTTCAACCCGAACTTTAGCAGCATTTTCCACCTGGACACCTCCCGAAGCAGGCGCTGCTTGCTGATTTTCCTTCGCGGCTCTTTTATTGGCACGCCACTGAGACGCCTCACGTGAGACAGAGTTCCCCGAGCCAAAATTAGCACCCGTCTGACTCGCTACAGGCCTGATCGGGACCCCTGTAGGTATGCTAGGACCAGTTTTCTCATACGGCATGAACTTCTTCAAACAGTTGTGACAGGTCAGCATTGTGCTCAGCACCGTCCTCGGGTGCTGGTGCTTAATACAGCAAAACGGGCAGATGGTCGTGAACATCTCCAGCCTCACAGAGTGACTCGGCTGCGGCTGGGCCGCTTGATGCTGGTTCAGACCAGTAAATCCAGTTGGCACATTACTATTAACCCCATATTGCCTGTTAAACTGATAGGTTCTGTTCGCGTTCATGTGATGAGGTGGAATTTTCACAGGGACAGGTGGTTGGCCGACAGCTCGAATCCGGCTGTCGTACACTGACTTCTTGGCAGGATCTGATAAAACGGCATTTGCCTCGACAATCAATTTGAAGGCAGCTTCAGCACCTGGGAACCGGTTTTTGTCCGGGTGGAGATTGAGAGCGAGCTTTCGGTACTGTTTTCTCACGGTAGGCTCATCTGACAGCTTCTCAACCTGAAGGATCCCATACCAGTCCTTTTCAGCTCCTAAGATTCTCATTTGAGCCGAGCAGTGGACGTTGCAGATGCCCAGCAGCTGGGAAATGTTCTCGAGCTCTGGGTAGAGGGCCTGGGCCTTTAGGGCGATCTTGCGGGCACCCTCGAAGTCGAGATTTTCCATCTTTTTCTCGGCAATTTGTTTGGCCCGGATTGCCTCGTCTTTGTTGCACTCCATTGGTTTTGCGCGTAGTTGTAAAGTACAGGAGTGGAGTAGTGAGAGTTCCCTGAGTTTGTTCAGCAGGTGCAATAGGGATGCTCTTCTTGTTCAAACAGAATACAACAAGAACCAAATTAATATATACTCCCTCCTATTTTTAATAAGTGTCGTTTTGAGAAGTTGCACAGTAATTAGGATCTTTTTTTGCCAATAATAACCCTCATTAATGAGAATAGAGATAGAGATGGATGTTTTGAGAAAAGATGAAGAGTGAATATGAAAAGACGTAGTGTATTTATTAGCTAGATGAGGGTAATGATAGAAAAATATGTACAAAAGATCTAAAACGTCATTTATTTGGTTAATTGTTGATAAAGTCAAAATGACATTTAAAAAAAAAACAGGAGGTAGTACTAACTATTACAAGAGATAGTTTCTTGGGGGTTCCAGAAAAAAGAAAAAGAAAAAAAAGACATACTTCAACGAATTACAATTTAAGCATTGTACAAACGGTAGAAGTGCTTTTCACAAAAGAGAAAAAGGCATAATATTAAAGCTTCAATTGCACTGACTTAGTATTGCACCTGTCTGAATAGCTGGTTGGTTTTGTGGTTGATGCCCCGCGGGATGTTTACCTGTTGCACAAAAAGTACATAAGAAAACCATCAAATACATGAAAAAGATAGATAAGCAAACACATATAAATAAAATAAAGTAAAGCATGCAGAATTTTCAACTCGCGGTTCTCGTAACCAAACATTCAAAAGACGAGTAAAGGAAACCGTCATTCTCAGCAAAAACGGTGACGCTGCTTGTCACCTTCTCATATCTGGACAGAGAATATATGACATTCCCACACAAAGGGTCAGCAGAATCCAATTTTTGTTGCCCCCAATAACAATATTAGGAAGTCTATGATTCTAGCTCGTGATGCTGTAATCTGTATGCAGTCAAATTTTGCAACCAACTTAATTCTTTTACTACAAGTTCTGTAGTGTAGTTAACATTTTTAAAGCAAACCAAACATTAATACCAGGAAACAGCTCTCATGTCCCAGCAACACTTCAAAATTTATTCAAACTTCAAATCTTTTTAGACATCAACATCCTATAAATTTGAATATATGAACAAAGAATCAAAAACTTAGTTCAATAATTGCAGATGAGATAAAATGGAGAAGACATTCACATGCAAAATTGTCTATAAAACAATTGACAATACATCTCAAATGGACTCCACTTACACCTTAACTCAAAGCCAATCCAACAACATCCATAGAACAAGGAACAAAATTAACAAAAAAAAGGGGAAATAATTGACCAAAAAAATAAAAATCTAAAATATTTCAAGATCCCATAAGCAACACAAGAATCCTGACCGAGTGTCAAAAAAGTCANCAAAATACAAAGAGCAATTACAGGTCAATGAGGAAAAAACAAAACCCTAAACAGGTAAAAGGAAACAATCGCAAACACATCCCAAAACATTACAACTTCAGACACATTCAATCACTGGATCACTCGATTTCCTGCTAAAAAATGAAAAAGCATCGGACTGAATTACCAACATGCAGACAGCAGACAACCGCAGACCTCAGTGTGCGCAGAAAATTTAGGAAAAGACAAAGCTTTTGAAAAATAACAGACAGAGAGATAGATAGAGAGAGGGGGTGCAGAAGTATCTAGCAAATATTTGCTGCAATGGAGGGAAGAAAAATGGAGGGAAAAGAGTAAAAGGAAAGTGAAATTTTTTGGGGAGCGATATGGACGAAAGAAGGGACCCTGAACTCCTCTGAAATTTCAATTGCCCCAAAAAACTCTGAGGATTTTCATTTGGAAGAGGAAATGGGAAGTTTTGTTGTTTTAGAAAACCTAGTGGAGCATGGAATCTAGAACTTGGGCTCGGGCTTGGATTTGGGCTTGGGCTTTGAATTGGGCCGGATGGGCACATTGGCCCATTGGGCCTTGGGTTGACGGTTAAAAAGTATCGATAAATTTTTGTAACTCAAGTGGTACCATTACGTTAGGAAAAAAATTATGTCGATGTATGAGTTTCTCTTGAATTTATTAACATCATTAAACGAAACGATACTCCGACGTTCAAGTCAACTTTATACAAGGATAGAAAAATCTAAAAGAAATTAGAGCAATAATAGAACATAGAAAGGTTAACAAATAGAGACAATTCATGTCCAAAACAAAAGAACAAACCCCAATTAATTAATAAAATTCAACATATTGAAGAAGCTAAGAAACTAATATTGAAAGGTCATTTTTATAATCACAACTATACACTATTGATGAGTACAATATAACTAGTACAGTATCCGTGTGCTACACGACTACTGAGTAATTTATATATGAGATAACTATTTTGTGGTTAAGTTAGTTTAAATAACTATATTTTTTTTTTCAAATTATTAGGTTATTTAATTTTAATTATAAATTTATTTGTATTTACTTTTTATGTATAATATAGATGTTAAATCAAAATTCATCAAAACATGATTAATTGGCTATACTTAAAAAATTTAATAAATACAATTTGATTAACTTTTAAATATATTTATAATTTAAGTTAGTAAATTTGTCATGATTTTTAAAGAGATGAGGAAAAAAAAAGACTGAGACAAAAATCTATACTTATATAAAGAGTCATCCCATTTACTAGAATTAGTAGGAAGAAAAGTTAAAGGTAATTAATGTATTTTAATTAATTTTATTTATTTTTTTTACCATAAAATCGGTACCAAAAAAAAATGTAGGGAGGTTGATTTGAGACTCATATCACCGGATCCCCTTAGGGCATTCTACAATATTCCGTTGGTTACTGAAGGTTTCGTGCATTGGCACAATCCCCAAACCCACCATGTCTTGACACTTAATGTGGAGACCGAAACTTTTACAGAGACTCTCTTTCCTGCTCTTGGGAGTCGAAGAAATATTTACCTATCAACCGGAAAATATCTGTCGTTATTGCGTAATTACGAGGTGTGCTCGTGGCAGGTCTGGGAGATGAGTCGACCCGAAACAGGAGAATGGAGAATGAAGGCCCAGTTTTCGTTGGAGGCTCACAAGGAAAGATTCAAGCTATCATCAGGTGGCGTTCCCAATAATTTTTTGACCCCGGTAGGCTGGGTCAAGTACCCAGAGTTGTTGGCCATGAGAGCTAGGGATAAAGCTCAAACGAGTGCAGTTTTTCTATACAATCTTGTCACGCAAGAAATTGATGAAATCGGGTTACCTACCTATATTGGTTCTTACAGAATTATGGCACATAAGACTAGTTTGGAGTGGTTGGATGCAGTCAAGAGGAGTCCATCTTCTCCATAATGATTATACTCTGTGTGTGTCATACCGTCGAATATCTATTATTGGGGAATTTATGCTATGAAAACTTTCGTTTCTTTTATGTTGGATTATGAAAAAAAGTTGCAACTCTTCTTTTGTTTGTTTTGGATTCACATTTGAAGCTTCATTTTCTTTTATTTTTTCTCATACATCAGAACTTACCTGGATTTAATGAATGGTATTTTTCTAGCCAGTCTCAACACAGCAAACTTATGCATCTATAATACACATTAGATCCTTATTTAGTTACTTGTGTTTTTTTATTAGGGACTCATTTTCATATAATTTTGTTGGAGTTGTAATTGTTATCTAAATCTTTTTATGTTAAGACATCATTATGTTATCTGAAAAAATACATTAAGAGTTTATTTGCTCTAAATTTTATTTTGTTCCTGCAATCGTATGTTTAATAAGTTAACTTACCAAACTTAATCGGCCAAAAATTTTCGACACCACGTGCGTGCATCGCACGTGTAGTTTACTAGTCACAAAAAAAGGCGTAGTAACCTTATGGATGGGTGGCATGAACATTTCCACCTCCATCTCGCCTAAGCTCATTCTCATCCCTAAGTACAACCCAGCAGCCGTCGACAAACATATATTCCGTTTGTTAATAGAAGACTATAGATTCGACAGATCCTTGGATACTTGTTCTTCCTTTTCCTCGGAAGGGAAGGGATGGCGAATTTGCTTTTCCTCCGAAGGGGAAGGGATTAGGGAATGCTAATTTATTTGTTTATGCATCGGGAAATCATTAATTGATCGAGTATCGACCATCCCCCAACCAAACTGATTTTTTGTTTGTTAGATTAGATTTTTGTAGGGAGTTCGTTGAGCTATGACTATGAGGCCACGTCTATTCAAGTTTGATATCCCACCGTCAAAAGTGCGCCAGCCACCGCCTCCTCGACGGCCAGGTAAATCATGGGTATCAAAAGCTTTGTGAACAGTGCCTACTTATGTTTATTGTAGAGTTGAAAATCATGTACAGTTTACTTCAATTGGCAAATCATTTTTCTCAAGTGGATAATGTGGGCATGTAGCATCATATATATATATATATATATATATTGTATGAATTTGTATACATATAGATATCAATGAAAATAGAGTAATGGCTGTGAGTGAAATTCTATACATATAGCATTATTTTCTTGACTCACGTCATTTCAATAATAAATCAATAGTGAAGTTTCGAAAAGACGTGAGCCTTATTTTTCGAGCCGCGCTCCCGTTGTGCTTCATGATAAACACCCATCTTACTATCTCCACAAGCACAACTCCGTACTGCAATTGAGAAGGCAGTAATGAAGATTGAGATACTATTATTATTCTTCGCATCAGTGATTTAGTATATCTTAAGATTGTGCAGTGAGACAATTAGTCGTAATCTGTTGGTTTGAGTGTGGATTCTGTTATTTTATTCTATTTCTCTTTGTTCTTCATCTATAAATAACAATGTGGAGGGATATTTTTGTTTCATGCAGCTGAGTTCTTCCCCCAAACCACAATCTTTGCTTCAAGTCATTAAGCATGAACAAATAGAGGTCAAATATGAATTTGATCATATAACAATACATAATGATGGTACAGATGTTTGGGAAATGGATCTTGAATTTGTGAAGTTTGATTCCAAATTAGCATCTGGTCCATACCCGTGATTTGTAAGCATTGCAGATTTTATGGGAATATTCAAAACTAGTCCCGGCCCACAGGTTGAG